AAGGTAGCTCGGCGGAGCACGGCACAGCTACGACTCAGTTGCTCACGAGCATTCGGCCAGCGCGCGAACCGAGAGTCAGACCCCGTGCACGTAACCAGCGATCATACAATAATGTCCGCCCGTACCGGCACCAACAGCGGCGCGAGTAGTGTTGTGCTCGCGGCCACCCGTATGGTGATACTCGTGTTCGCCGCGCTGATCGTTCTCGCCCGAGCGGACCAGAACAAGTCCGAGCTGAAGGTCGAGAAGGCCTACGTCCCGGAGGTATGCGACACCAAGTCAAAGATCGGGGACCAGCTGACGATGCACTACACCGGCACGCTGCTCGACGGCACCAAGTTCGACTCAAGGTCAGTGACACCCGCTCCGATCGGAGCGTGGGCCCTTCGACGGATCGGCCGCGAGACGCCCACGCGTTGCGAACGACTTTCTCGCTGGTATTCGTGAATCGATCGCGCCAAGTTTCTGCGTCGGGATGGTGCACGTGTCTTTCGTCGCTCGGAGTACGGGACCACGTTCACGCTAGCTGCTTGGACTGGGTTATGCGATGCCATTCGCATCGACACATTTCAGATGATTCGTGTTAGAACGCATTTCGAACAGGACGTTCGTGGCGCGATGCGTGACACGCGTGACGAGTATTCTAGATGGGTTTAGTTTTTGGAGGAAATGTTGGGAACTTCGTTCGATGTAATGTGGAGAGAGATGGGGGTTTGCTTTGTTTATTTCTGATGTCAGTATTTGTGACAGGTTCTCTTTTATGCTTCTTTCTGGTGTTACTCTTGTTTTTTCGTTCAATGTAGATGGGAACACTTTCGAATAATACACTAGGCGATCTAGTTCTCCGGCTCGAGGTCACGAGCGTGCCATGTGCGGTTCTTAGCGGTTTCCTCGTACATACGTGGCACGAGATGATGTCACGACGAGAGTCCGTAGGCTGGCGGTAATTGCCGCGGTTCTAACCGGTTTTAGAATGTCGGAGTTTTCCGATGATCGTTCGTTGACACAAGGTTCGCAGATACTGATCGAACGTCCCATTGTTTCGCAGCGTGTAACGCTCGTGGTGGCGAACTTCCGCTGATTATTTCGAATTAATAGAATTAACTAGTTCGATGAAATTGAATTTGAATGGAGGAAGGATATTACTTTACTGACGGTTCGACGATCCGAACTGCTACTGGTCGATCGGTCATAAATGGTCAGTTAACGAACGACCGTTTTTATTGTTCCGGTTGTAATTCGCTCAGGCGTGAGATAGTGAGAATCATATGATTGTTGCGCCTTCTACAGCGAGTTCGGATAGGAATATTTGTCTTCGTAGACGTCCTGGAAGACGAAGTTACTCGTTTATAACGCGCACGGCCGAAAAGTTTCTTGTCAGATCGTAATTAACCGGCTAATGAGATCTTCGTCCGTTCGCACGTAAACATTTCCTGAATATACCTACTTTTAAACCTCCGAATATGTTCACAACCATATCCCCGCTTTAAGTTCGAGTACGCTTTAAATTTCCAGTAATTTTCGTTTATAAATATTTTATTTAATTTCTCCATATTCCCTTTCACGAACGTTCTCTTTCATTTCTGAGTATTTTCTTCAGCATATTTTCCCTCTAAATTCCGAGGTTTCGAAGATCTTCGAGCTTCTGTACGAGAGAAATCGTCGAGTAGAAGGGCCCAGGAACTTTATTACTCTCTTTTGCGTTGTCGTGGAACATTTTCGTGAAAGAGAGAACGAGGTTAATTAGCTAGCCCCCGAACGGAAACGATTCGTGTCTCGTTCCGACGAGCAGGCCTCGCCTGTGCGCACGGGTCGCGTTGGAACTACCGACGTGGACCGCTGCGGGATCCACGCGATCGTCGGGCGGGAAGATTTAACTGTGGCGATTCGTCCCGAAGCGAAACGTGCTCTCACGCGATTGGAGAGCGCGCGCTGCCAACGCGGACGGTTTTTCAGCGGGCAACGCGTAAACAGATGACCCGGCAAGTATTCCGTTAATGTTATCCGTTCGATGTGTTTGTGTACTCTTTTTGTAGCCGTCTGTTCGATGGAATTACATAGCGTGTTTCGAATAAATTCTTTGTAATCTCGATGGCATCAGCGTTTAAAAACTCTATAATTTCATTTCTTCTATCGTGATACCGACATCTTCGATTCATTATCCTCTTTTCTTCTACTCGCTTTACGTAAAATCTTTACAAATGAACTTTTCTTTTTTGCTAGAATTTACTGAATCGGCAATGCATAGAACCGACAATTTTAATGTCAAAACTGCTGATCATTTAATACGACTCATGTATAATCCTTGTAAAAATGATAATGGGAAACTAAAACAAATCATTCTAGTGTTAATACGTTGATCGCTTCGAAAATCTCGAGCGTTTCATATATCGCTTATCCTTTCGTACCAAAGATAAATATAAATAATGATCAGTCAATTGATAACGCAATCGTTACATTATATTATTATCTGGTTATTCAAGCTATTAAACATTTTTAAACTGGATTGTCGGTTGTTCACCGGCTAGATAGCCAGTATCGGTGTCGATAGCCAGGAATGTGGACGACGAAACAATCGAGGCGTTTCAGGGCCGTCTTCGAGCCTTGAAATCGGATTTGACGACCGGTTTACTTACGTTCGCCGGCTGTCCGTTCCAGGAAGTCGTTCGCTGAATTAATTGCACCTCGAACCGTTGGTGACAAACTCGGCCCAAGTTGATCGATGGGGATTTTGCTTTTCGCGACGTCCACCGTGGGGGAACTCTCTCTCCCGCTCTCTTCGCTCGGCACACTTGCGTTACACTCAACGGGAAACCAATTACGCGTTCGCGTTTTCGCCTAAGTCGCCAACGGAATTTTTTTTAGTACGTGACTCGCGAACGATCTCGACGAAAACTTCTTCTACGACGATGAACCCAATAACGGTTTTGTTATCTGTCGTCGAAAGTGTTCACGAATAAACAAGATAAGTTATCGCGTGCACCGTCGACCCCCCTTTTCGTCCGATTAAATAATCGCATCTTTCCCGTCCCTGATAACGACACTATCTAATCATTTTTTGCAGCAACGTGTACCAGTCGGTCATTAAATCATAATTCTGGTTCTCGATATCGATCGAGTTTATACATTATTTCGCAACTCTGTATCATCGATATTTAAATTTCGTTGAAAGCGGAGAATGTTAACGATGCAATTTTTAGCATGATTCGCGAATGATTCACGAGTGTAATAATAAGTTTTTTTTACGGATTTTCCTTCAATTTGAAAGGTGTCTTTCGAACTGAATTAGTAGTGCAATTAATAGTGCATCTTTCACGTGTAATACGTTTCGGAATTGGATTTTGCTCGATTTCGAACAATGTCGCAACTTCCGTGAAACGAATGTTGAACGTGTTTCGTCAAAGGAGCCCGGGCCGAGTAGAATCGAAGCAAAACTCGTTCACGGGAAATTTTGCCCGCGAAAAGTTGCCTCGTCGCGTTCTTTGGGGATCAGTTTCGATATTACCGGCGAGAATCACGCGGTCAGTCTACCCTTTGAGGGCCACAATATCCAGCGAATATTATATTACGACCAGATATAAGCGTTCTCTCGTGTTTTCATAATCATTCCCCTTAAATTATTGCTCGTTAAAACTACCGCGAAACGTTTTGCTTGATGCAAACGCGCCGTTTGAACGGGTCTCCCTCTTCGCGCCGCTTCGAACGGCGAGCGTTCCTGCCGGCGTGCTTCGCTTTGACGTTAACATTAATTAAAATGTAAAAAAATATTGTGTACGGTAAACAGACGAATTTCCCTTTGTGCGACGTAACGCGGCTTGCTCTGCAACGGTGGTGTATCGTGTTCGGAAATTTACGGATGCATCCATTTTTTTCAACTTTCCGCTTTATTTCGATGAACATTGACATATATATTCTACTTTTGACTTCTGTCGTCTCGAATCTTTTTCATCGATCGAATCGATTTTTCTTATTATATCGTTGAGACAATGAAATAGTGGGTAAATCAATGTCCATATAACTAAGATGTAAATGTTTCATTTCACCGTACCTAAAATGATTACTTGATTTCAAGGAAAAATTCATCGGTGAAAGTAAAAATATTTATTCAATATTTATACACATCTTTCAAGCAGAAGAAAAAGAATTTTTAACAGATTTTGCTTGGAAATCCACAAAAAAAAACTGCTACATGTAAACAATCTCTCATGATTGATGATGATATCCAAAAATTGTCCAGAAAGTTGAAATAATTCGCTTTCCAATTCTGAAGCAAATTTCCTATCCTCCTTTATTTTTGTAACAGTCGAAGGTTCAACGACCGCTTGCTGCGGTCAATTACGAAATGCTGAAAATAATTCGTCGATCCAGTCGAATCCGAAAGCGCGACATATTCGAGGACGGGAACGATAGACGTGGCAGGTGACCGCGCGCTGTCTCGTCTAAATTGTTTCGTAGGCCGTTACCAATACCGTTAATCGAGGAGCCGGCGGACGCACTGCGCCGGCAAAAGTTAATGCCACGTTTGGAGGTCACCGGGGACGGTGAACTGACGCGGCGCGCTCGATATTACGGATAGTACGCGTGGAGCTTCGATCGTAGGATATGAAGAAATTTTGCATTTTTTCCCTCCTCCCCCGCTCTCTCGGAAATTATCCCCTGCATTACCGTGCTGAGAATTTTAAAGAATTCTGACTTACTGCCCAGTGAAAATAAAAGGTAATATAAACGATGAAATAAAGGAACAATATGCATTTTTACTTACTTGAAATTATAACCGTGAAATATTTATATATTATTAGACCCTTACGCAGAGTATTATCAAAATAAGCGAGAAACACACACAAAAAGGAAATGATTTTATGTGAATAACTGAATCGAAAGTATGCAATAAAATTTTCTAGTAGAAATGTCTGTTCATGACTTACCGTTTCTATTTATGCATACCGAGGCTCGTGTGTTAGGTAAACGTTCGAAGTCGATTATCTAATAAAATTATGTGTGAAAAATATTTATGTTATCTGCTCCATTCGCCTTTTCATGAATATTCAGTATTTCAGTAATTATTTTACTCTGACGTCTTGCATGTGCCTCGATATGAGGTTCGCCACCTTAACGATAAAGTTTAGTTTGAACATAATAAGAACTGGCGTGTGGGAAAAAGCTGGTAAACGTATGCGCGGAAACGTGTAGTTTCATCCGAGGAAACGTTATTTGGATCTTGTAAGTGCATCATTGCACACGAATGCATGGCAGCTTCGCACGGAACCGGCGCAGTGCGCATTACGTAACCCCGTGTCCCGAAAATATCGATAAAATTTGTTCTTTCTTCAAATGAAACACTCCATCGGTG